CACACCCTCCGGTCCCCTTTCTTGAAGATGGGGACCACCACCCCGGTCTGCCAGTCCACAGGTACTGCCCCTGATCTCCACGCAACATTGCCCTATATTAATGTATCTATGATAAAATATTGGTTTTGCAGTGTTGTTTTATCGTTTTTTAACCAGTGCAAAATAAGTATGAGTCAGGTGGATTACATTGTTATCCATTATACCATTATTATGGTAATATTATTAGTGATACCCGAGTCATACCAGAGCATTGTGGTAGAGTATAAAAGTGTACATGTTTTGATTCACCTCTGACCTTACTTTTCCATCCTCATCTAGGACCATGAGGATAATGAGATTTCAGAGACAATCAGCCAAAGGAGGTTTCTCCTTAGAAAGAGTAGAGCCGCTGATCTTCTGTTTTCAGGGAATGCCCAAGTCTGGCCAGGAAATGTTATGTATTTTTCCAGCTTGGGAAGACTTTGGGGCCTGCTAGGAGGAGGTGGATAATGCTGCTAGACTAAATGTATCCCTCACATGTCCTGTTGCCACATTGACCAAACATTTTCCTCTGCTGTAGATAAACGTGATATACAGTGCTGTGAAAAAGTATTTGCTCCTTTCATGGATTCTTTTTTGTTGTATATTTCTTACAGTTATATTTCAGATCAACAAACACATTTTAGTATCAGAAAAAAGATAACCTGAATACATACAAAATACAGTTTTTAAGTTTTAAGTTTTTATTTATTACAAACCAGGTCCTGTGTGGAAACTTAACTGCAGTTTCTCCTGCGCTGGCTGGGGAAGATTTTTAATATTGTTTTTCTCCTTCAACCATCTTATGAGCATTGAAGTTGCAGACTGTGTCCACAAGAGGACACTCTGCGGCTGTCCTGTTGGTAACACATGGAACAGCTGATCTGAGCAGGGTGAAGTGTAAAACAAGTAAATAAATAACTACAAATAAATGTTAGGGTAATCGGGTCATGTTTTATACATCTGAAAGAAAAGACTACAGGAAATTCACTGGAATGTCAGAGATTTAAAATCTCCAAATATCAGTATTGGTGTTAAAAGATAATATATTGATCTGACTTTTTTTTTTTTTTTTAAAGGTTACAGAACCTATAACATCTATATAAAGACAAACTATATGAGAACTTTTTAATTCAAATCGAAAGCGTTTTTAGCACTGGGTAGTGGACAGACAGTATTATTCTGAAGCTGTAGCTTACTGTAAACATAAAGGCTTAAAATGATTAAATCGATTACATAATAGACATGCAAAATCTATTTGTCAGAGTATGGTAGTTTTGTCACATATTTGTTCGATGTTTACTTAAGATACCACGTGGGCATGTGAACATAAGTTTAGCACAAATGGATATTTAGAAATGTCTGAGACAAGAATTGTCATTTACTGTCAGGCCCATCATTTTATGAGACAATTAAATGACAAAACTGAAACAGAACTAACCAAAAAAACATGCTGATATTCTGCTAAGATCACAAAATGGTAAATGGCCTGCATTTGTATAGCGCTTTACTCAGTCCCTAAGGACCCCAAAGCGCTTTACACTACATTCAGTCAT